GGGCGGTGTACAAACCAACTCTTGAGTCTTCAGTGGGCAGAGTTCAGTTGCATGGAAGTTGTTGGGGTGAGAGGACTGCATTTCCGAACAAACATCCAGTGACTGCACATGGTCATTGCTTTCATGAAATAGTAACAAAGTCTTCGTGCGACATACAGTCTCTGACATTCTTTGTGTTGGTGATTTTATGAATTTTGCGAAGTTCTTTATATTAACTTTCGACTGACTGACTTCGGTAGACTCTTACTGGCGTTCAGGGCCTGTGACGCCGACGTCTTCAGGCCTGTGTGCTGCTGCAAAGAAGGCGTCAAAAGATGGACTTCCATCGACGCCTCCAGTGAGTATCTTTTGTCATGGTGGTCTGCATGCAAGTAGGATTTTAAGTTCTTGTTAAGATGACTGTCTTCTAAGTTGTAGCTCCGTGTAGTCCGGTAGAAATTTACCAACGTTTCAGAGGTCCTAGATCCTAGACAGTCATCTTTGCAAGTCATGTGTGTCCCACATAGTGTTTTTCAGTTTATACGCCCTTTTACTCATTTTCGAAGGAGACAATTAAGCCTATATTTATAGGGATTATGTAATGTTTTGCCCATATACATGGCTGGTTACTTAAATTAGGTTCAAGATGACTCACTGAAAATTGGACAAAGTCAGAACTTAAAAAAAATAAAACTTAAACTAATTGACACAATTTTGGTGGTGGGTTTTATTAGATGCTACTAAGAATGTAAAGCCAGAGGAAACGAAACAGACCTATATGTTAATATCTAGTCACCAGACTGCCGCACAAAATCGTAATATAAAGATAATTAATAAATCCTTTAAAATGTGGCCGAGTTTAAACATTTGGTAAGAAATTACAATTGCATTCAAGAAGACATTAAGAGCACAATAAATTCGGGGAATACCTGCTGCCATGCAATTCGGAATCTGTCTACCAACTGTCCGCTGTCTAAAATGTAAGTTAATGCCACAGCTCAGGCGTTTAGTCGACTGCTCTTGACCGTGGAGGCCAGGGTTCGCTCTCATATAAATCCATGTGGGATTTGTGGTGGACAAAGTCATATGGGAGTTTGACAGAGGTTTACTTCCATGGAGAAGCAGTCTCTTCATATCGAAACTCCATCGAAATAATAAGAATAATACCAATTCTTCTGTGGAACATCGAAGAGGAAAAGTGAAAAACTTTGTTACCTGTAGTTAGTTTTGGAATTTGGATCCAAGATACATGTAGAGGAGAAGCGGCCGAATTGAAAAATAACATATTTAGGGTGATGACTAAACTGCCTTTTGTCGAAAAATTAAAAATGGAAATAAAGATGTAGCGAAGACGAGACTAATTTTTCAGCAAAATATATGTTTCGTTAATGTCTAGAATTTTTAAAGACCAGGTAAAATAAATTCAGTATCGGATAATACTAATTCATTTGTATAAAAATATATTACATGTTTGTTATTGGTCTGTAGAATGAAACTACTCAATTCTGATTTGTTATATCATAAGGAAACCCCATTGAAAATCGAGATAAATGTATAAAAAACTGTTGGACTGCTACGCAGTCTGATGATTAACGTAGCTGCGTGAAACATCGTGCGAGCAAATGAGATGTAAGTAATTAGTCGCTATAGAGTAAATTATAATTTAAACACTTTGTATTCGAGGTAATAGACGAGTAACTCGTTTGCTCGTACATTTCTTTGTGCGGCTGAAACATCGATCTTATATCGAGTGAACTCTAGTTCAAGACCATGTCGATCCATCTGAGATGGACAGTGCCGAAAGTGGATTTAGTTCAGATAATTAGTTCTTCGATCATGCATGTGTGAGATGAGAAATAGAAGTATTTCAGTTAGAAAAACCGACTAATTACTATAGTAATTATTCGTGTGTTAATTTTTCACGGTGTTGCCGGAGATAGGTGTGGGAATTGAGTTCCAGGAATATAATGTCGGACACATGGCGGTCGTTTGAATTTATATTGTACATTAGGGAATGAAAAACTGAGACTCCGGCCCGAACATAATGCCGGCCATTATACCCCGGGTATAATCCAAAAGACCAAAGGATAGTTACATAACTGTCTTTACTGTTATTTTAATAGTTGATCCTTATACAATCTCTAATTTACCACACTTCGGTGTTTTGGATTTTCCTTCTCGATCTTTGTAGATACTTTACATTTGCATAATAAAAAAGCCAGTTTCCCCGCGTGCTTACAGAGGAGGTACTTAAATACACCGCGTATAAAAATAAATGGACCGCGTAGACACGGAGATCGAGAAACTTTCAGGTAGCAGGGCTGACATTCTTTACTTTATTCTCCTGTAAAGACCAGTTTCAGTATTTTAACTTATAAGTTATTTTACATTTAGGTTACAGAGTGTTATATTATTTTAAGAGGGATAAAGTACTGAGGACAGAGGAACCAGATGTGGAAGAAATGTGAAAAATACGCGGGAGAAATACGGAAAGGAGATAAAGATAGGTGAGTGATAAAATAAAGAAAGGAGACGAAGGATTAAGATACGGAATAAATTATTTTATATTGAATTTCAACGTGCTTTTTGCTAGTTTATTAAATAAATAAAAAACCTGATAATTGTGCCCATTACATGCAGCTGGACGGTTATTGGTTTTTTCCTGCTGTATGGAAACTTCCTGCTGGAATATAGGTCTGCATACAAAATAAACAGCAGATGTTGCTTGTTACAGTATTCCCAGTTTCCGAATTTACCTGACGTAATTTCCTGTTCTAAAAGTTTGCTGAATAGTCACTAGTAATTGACATAGTGACATATTAAATTATACTACACCTCAAGGTTGACGACTAACAAGAAAGTTGTACTCAGAACGTCGAATTCCATACCAGGCTGCTGCAAAGGGGAGAATCGGTTTCTTGCCTGCCGCTGTGCTGAATGGGTGTCCCTTTGTATCTCGCTGCCAATTATCTCTGGGTGTTTCTTGTTAATGGCGCGCCACTCCAGTTTTTGTCAATTGTTTAATCTCTATATCAACATGGAAATATTTGTTCCGAGTTGCGTACATAATTGGTCAACGCAGAGCGTGATAGTTACATGGCACCCACACCATGACTTTTTGTATGGAAAAAATGATTTTTTGTTTGTTTGCAGAAATTTCTTAACTACTTCGATAAGTTATTAGAAGATGTCTCTTCATTCATGAAAAGGATAAGTCTGGCGGCCAGTTAAATGCAACCAACGTTTGAAAGCTTCCACCAACAAATGAGAAAGTTAATTCCTATCATTAGCTGCAGCTAGAAGACTAAGTCACCTCTGTCACACCGAATAAAGCCCAAATGCAAATAAGCATCCTTAGCCAACAAACACTGCGGGCCTAGTAGAAATGTAGACATTGGCTAAAGAAACTTTCGTCAGAATTCATTCCACACTTAACGAGAATTAAACGTTGTTCTGCGGTTTCATTATCTTGCGTAATGAAGCAAATATTGTACCGAAGTTGTGAAAAAATCTTCTTTTACAGAAATATGTCCAGCCGGCTTACTGGAACCATGGAAAACTAATGGAACAACAACATTTATACAAATTTATTAAAAGTTAGCATGCTGTATTTCAGACGGACAAATTAATTACCTTCTTACCAGGTTGAGAGACAATATTATTATAATTACCGTGCCTCACAGAATATAAGTCATAACTTCAATTAAGACGGTAAATACAGCGTCTTTATTTATGGACGTCTCGAAGTCTTATGACAGTTTGGATAATATAAATTTAATACAAAATACGTAAGTCGGATTATAACACTCCAAGCGTCCTCCCGTTCTTCATGTATCATACATATCGCCCAATAAATCCGACCTAAAAAAGGGCATTTCTGAGATAGGAAAAGAGAACAGACCTGGTTCCATGACTATGAAAATATATATATATATATATATATAGTATATGTAGCAGACAGACGTAAGACCAAAAATAGAATTGGACCATAATTTTCAGATGACACAACTACATCAAATGAAAGCATTAACGAAGTAAACATGGGTCTGAAGTAATTTTTACCAAAATGTGGCGTATACTTTTACACAGACTGAAATTTTTCTCAGAAGGCATTTCACAGTCGGGAGGAAGCAGATTATTTGGGCATCCGTCTGGGAAGAGAAAATATTTGCTATAAAATTGCACACTTTAGCTAGGCCTATGGTAAAGCATTGCACCGCTATATAGCATTCTCTTTCGTTTTCAAATGTCAGACACTCCATACGAAAACCAAACATGGCCAAGAGATATGAATTTGTTAAAGAATATCCAGAATAGGAAACGTCGAGTGGCGGGAACATATTTATAACAGCTGTACGCATATCATTAAATACATGTATCATTATGAATCTTGAATGAGAAAGTGAACAATTGTACAAATGCATCAGGCAACAGCATCATTAGGCAATTATGAAACTAATGTACACTATTTTTACGAGGGACCAGAACGGTTATATAGACGTGCTTCATGAATTAACCAGTCGTACAAGCAAACTGTAAGCAGCGCAGAAGAAACGTACATGAAAGACCACATCGGAATGGACACACTTACATGACAAACCATGGCCCTCTGACTTTCTGAGGTTTCTATATTTACGTTCGGCAATCACTCTATTTACAGTTATATGCAAATGCATGGCTGTCTTCGCAGGACATTTTGCGCGCAATAAGGACGTATTTCCTAAACTGGTTGATGCAGGTTTTTATAACTTACTCGGTGCGGGAGAAAAAAAAACGCTTTGACACAACACTCTTCTCTTCCCTGTCAGATAAAGTGATCTAATGTAGTTCTTATTCAATACCATCAAGATTATTAATGACATTATCACATCACTTAACGGCCAGGATCTATGTAAGCACATATTATTTTAGCCATTGACTTTACTGAGCCTATAGATACGTCTCTAAGAGCCGTAAGAGTCCACGAACACGCAGATAAGAAGACTTGACTCGGCGGCAACGTCGAAAGTAGAGACAGCTATGTACATACTGTACAGTGAATGAAGATGATAGACCCTGAGTGCTCTTGGCCCTTAGAAATGGACAATGTGAGCTTGTCTTGGGCGAGTGTACCTGCTGAGTTACTGGCAGCAAAGTGCATTCAGGTTCCCTCGTCCAAGATCCCCCCACCCTACTCCTGTACCATAAAATGAACAATGGCCCTGAATTGTGACCCCACTCTCAACGACTCGGACATTTCCTGACTGAGTGTGTAGAAGTTTGATTCGAACCATGGTCCTCTGCCCTCAGAAAGGCTTTCTTAAATCACGTTCAGACGGATGGGAGACCAATTGGTAGAAAGGTTTCTTCCTTCACAGGACAACACAGAATTCCCAGAGCTGGACCCGAACCTGCCCAAACCGTAACAACCTTAGACTACGCGGGACACAATGGAAGATTATTCAGTGTCTGTAATTGTTATGACAGCATTTGAAGAACGGAGAACATTCTGTAACAAGTGGCGTGTAAGACATTAGAGTCTCAATCGAATCTGTCGCATGCCAGCCGGAGCTTTTCGACGCTGATCAGAACTGCAATACTATTTTGAATGATTGGTGATTTCACACGCGGTTGTCGACGCACAAACAGAAACAGATCATGAAGTATTTTGCTCACTAATGAACGAGTGAACTTGGGAATTTCAGCTTTCTAATCACAATACCAACGTAAAGATGTTGCTTATTATAGACGTGGATAATTCTTAAAACGGATAATTTATTTAGGTATAACTTGGACCGAAAAGCGGCTGAGTGGTTTCACTCTATTTTTCCGAGAGGTTGTAATCTATCTAATCTGTTCTCAGTGACCCGCTATCCTGACTGAGGGTTTTCGCGATTTTACTGAGTCACTCCAGGCAAATGATTAGGTAGAATATTAAATTAGGTCATGACCGCTTCATTCTGAAGCCTTTACAATTTATTCATTATTCTGTCACTCGACGCTAATACAATTTGTGCCATTGACAATGTCGTTATCCCATAAGATCTGTCCAGTTGGTCTTTATTACGAAGGTCCTTCTTAATATTATCCTACCATTCAGATACAAATTGAACACAATACTTATTCGACAGGTCTGAACAGTGAAACATGTAGGTCTACTCCTGCTACATAAACAACCAAAACTTTTTCGTTTCTCACTTGGATCCTGTAACTGTGAGCTATGTCAGGTTCGTAAAACAAGACCCGAGGTTCTCAAAAGAATTCTAAAATCGGACTTCTCAGCCACCTCTGATGACAACTGGTCTGGCAGATACAGGAACTACTCTTAAACGAAGCCGTCGGAATGTTCAAAATCCGGTCTGCAACATTGCAGTCCGACTTGGGTGGGCGAATCGCCTCCCACCCAGTCTGCCACCATTCCCGAAGTCGCTGCTGTTAAAACTTTCTTCCCAAGCATGAAGTGGGAAATGGAGCATGCTGGATGACGTAATTTCTATGCATTAGTCTATTCGATTCTCAGTCGGTTACCTGTTATCCTGTCTGACATGTATCGTGCTTTTATTCATCCTGTCCAGTCGACTGCCATGATAGTGACGTTCCCAGTTAAAACTCGTTATATCCTCCGTGATCGGCGAGAAGGTCTTAAGCCAATAGAAATTACGTTAGGCTTAAGCTCTTTTTGCCGAGCATCGACTGAAGCTAAGAATTAATTAATCATTAATTGTTAGTAAAATTTAAGCTGGGTCGCACACGTGACTTGAATCGGAGAAACAAAGCGATGCACTTGATCTATATCGAGGAAATCTTTTGGAAAGTGTTATTTCGAATGAACTGGAAACAGATGAAGGGATAATGTTTGAATGGTTGATACGATAACTGACTCAGTATGTTGTCGAGTTGTGAGTTTTAGCGCCGAATTGATATTACAATATCTTTCCGTCTACACAACACTTTCATTCAATGTAATATAGGCCTAATATATTAAGGCAACATATTTCGACATTTAAACCATCATATCAGGTTTCCTCGATAATTTGCTGGTATTTCTACAAATCATGCTTGAATAAAACATGATAACCATTTGAACATGGAAACATGTCTACACGTAATAGTGAATAATATTTTTGTGCAGACGAACTATAAATATTATCAGTTCGTAAGTCACTTTACAGGTTACTGAAATACAATTTCGATATCGAGAATTCGGATTTAATATATCGACCCCTGACCACCAGAATAGACGAGAGCATTAGGCATGTGCATTTGCATTGTGACTACGCTGCAACTATACTGCGAATATGTAGGTCATGTGAGCCAGAGGGAGTGCAGGGAATATTATTCCAGCCAAGTCCAGATGATCTCGGGCACTTACCAGTCTGTTAGCAGACCACATGCGTTCTCTTAGAGCCCTGATTTCGGAACGGAGAATGCCACTGGCTACTGCAACCTTTGTTAGCCTACTTCTGTTACTTCAGTATGGAAATGAGATAACTCTTTAAAGCGTAGTGGTTACTAGACTATACCTTTAACAGGCAGTGACTGGACATTTTCCCCGCACGGTGTTTAAAATTCGTATAATTTTGAGAAAAATTTATTAGTTTCCTAACTGCATTAACGCACTGATTTTTTGTAACGGATACGCGATATGTTATGAGGTAGAAACAGGATTTCTTAAAATATTATTTAGTTGTTCTTTGTGCTTGAAGGGTAAAGATAACGAAAGTTTCTTTTAAAAAAAAAAGTCTGCCAACGTCATGTCAGCGGATGCTATACCAAGTTCTTGGGTCCAGGTCTGAAGTCAGCTTGACAAGAAAGCCCTACAGATAGGATTCTTGTTCTCTTTCCACCTTTTTTTACCTGAAGACTGAAGCAGAATACAGCTTCCGAAATGTTGTAGTTTTATTGTTTCGTAATTTAAACTATGAACAAAATCGAAAAGAACAACGAACTCAAAGCTGTTCGTTCGTCATCCAAGGCATATATACGTATGTAATAAACCTTTGTAAATAAAATTTGCGAATACGGTAGATTCAGATTAAATGGGCCATCGGTTAATCGGGGCAGCTGTTTATTTGGGGCAAATCTTAAAGAACAAGCCTTTTTAACTCTTTACGTGGAACTTCTCATAATGGGGGCAGCCGCTTAATTGGGCCAAAGTGTTCTAATCCCGATGTGTCCCAATTAACCGGAATCTACTCTAATTTGAAAATAAAAGAACTGCACTGACATATGCTAACGTTGGGGTTGTCGTATTTAAATACCGGACAGCTGGGTGGGAATAAGTACGCATTCGAAGGTCCTGCGACCGGCCAGCTTGATGAAGTCCTTCCGTGGTTTATCAAGGTCCTAGATCAAATGCTGAGTTAGTTCCCATATTTCCAGTTTGCATTGCGTGTCTCATATGCATACCTCCCAGTATTAACACCAAAATATGCCCTAAAGTGGCTTCCATGTATCCTAACATCAAAATTTCGCCAAGTTCTGC